AATGAGTGCCGTATCGTCGAATAAATCTCACATGCTCTCATTTGCTATATACTATTTACTCGTTATTTATTTTACTAAAGATATTAATTCTACCATTTGTTGCTCAAGTGTGGAGTACGGTTTTCCTCTATTTTTTGATGAGGTCGTTGATCATTTTAAGCACCGAATTGTTAGAAGTTAATAGCCATATTAGCAATCAAGATTCTTGCTTCTTTTGGTATTTTATCTATAAGGGCACCTTCATTAGCTACATCTATCATGGTCCTATCATGTGGGAGAAGTCCCTCATAAAAGTACATGATTAAGAGTTACTCACCGATTTGATGGTGAGGGTAACTAACATATAGTTTTCCGAATCTCTATCAATACCCATATAATCTCTCATCCTTGTATTGTCTAATCCCATATATCTCCTTACGGATGTTTGCAACTTGAGATGTGAGAGAATATTTCTTCAAAAACAATCTCTTCATTTTAGTCCATATGCCGATTGATCCGGATGGTAAACAAGTAGAGCCAATCCTTGGATAAGTCAGCCCAATGAAAAAGGAAAAGCTCTTAACTTGATTTGATCCTTGGATACCCCTACTAGTTTCATGTTGGAGTAGATTACATGAAATTCCTTTAGATGCTTGTGAGGATTTTCACCCGATAAACCATAAAAGCTAGGCAAAAAATGGATTAGACTAGATTTTAGTTCAAAATCTACCTCAATATAAGGATAATCAATAACATAAAGGCCGCACATTTAGATCTAGAGTGGCTAATTCTTTAAGAGTGCAACTGATGCTTGGATCAACCATGATTCCTCTTCACATTAACTAGAGCAAACAACAATTAGAACACCAAGAAATAGTTAATTTGAAGTATCCTTCTCTAATAATAGTACAAAATTTAATAACGTGTCTTACCGTCATCAAATTAGTAATTTATATTGTTCTTATAGAGCTTTTAATCACAATAGTGTAATCATAGCAAGGGTCAAACACATAGAGAAAAAGGATAAATCGACTCGTTTCTTTTGGTGCAGTATTCTTATAGTGTGAAAAGAGAGGTTTGTGTTTAAAGTGCTTGAAAATAAATAAAGTAAAATGAAATAACAATATTCGGAGAAGCCTTGGTTAAACTTTAGTATCCACTCTCGATTTGGTTACCGATCATTGATTAAATAATTAACTTATCCTAAACATGAATATTCATCATAAGACAACAACATGTATGTAATCCTCGGTCTTTTCTTACTTAGTCGTTAATCGAATATACGATACTCGATTAACTTTCTAGCTATTGAACGACTCTACTAAGTACTAGATAGATTTAATCCAATAACAACATTAACATAGAAAGACAGTGAAGTTAAGCCACCTTCTTAAGTGCTATAAAAGATAACCAAGTTTTATGTTTTTTAAGTAATCGAACAACTAAGTGGGAATATATATTGGATATGAATCTTCTTCTATAATTAAATATCTTGAATCATTAATAGGGGATATTTTCACGACTGGATTTACCGACTATCATTTTGAATAAAACAATTTTTCTAACATTAGGGAAGATAATAAATAAAATAAGCGAGTTAAAAATGTTAAAAAAAGAAATTACATGGAATACTTCATCTTTATATCATCTCGATCTCCATGCAAAGAAATGTGAACTTGAAGTTCGGAGGATAATTTATTTACAAAGTTTTACAAACCAACTATCGGATGCATTCTCCGATCCAAAGAGAGTAACTAAATCATATGTTCCCACCGAGAATGCTCCTATTAGAATTGATGTCCCGAAGCACAATCTATTAATGTTATAGCAAATGAATCTAAAGCACGCTTGAAGTGTAGAAGGCCGATCGATTCTAAAAGCAAAAATCCCCTAAAGAAATGAAAATAAAATAAAATAAAGGATGCAAATATTCATAAAATAGTCCAAGATATTTATGATAATAAGCTTTTAGAAGAAGTTTGAATAATTGAGAAAAATCAAGTGACTTTGATAAAGTATGTCAATCTAGGGAGAAAATAGGATCGAAAATAAATATTTATTGATATGATTTTTACATATAATGTTTCAATTGATATCTTAAATGAAAATAAGGATCCCGAGCCTAAATTTATTAAAAAATTTTGACATAAAGATGATTGACATAAATGAAAAGTTTTATCCATGCGGAATTATGATCTTTTACGAATAAGTAGTTTTTGAACCCATAGTCAAAACACATAAAGATGTTTAGTCGGTGAGATACAAATGAATAGTTATACAAAAACTAAATAAGAAAAATGAGATTGTGAGATACAAAGCAAGACTTGTAACATTAGAGTTGTCGCAGAGACCTCACATTGACAATGAAGAGACATATTCTCTTAGAATGGATGCTATTACATTTCATTATCTTGTTAACTTCAAAAAATATATGAAAAACTTCATATACATGCATTTAATGAATATAATCACAGTTTATTCATTCAATTAAAAATGATATCGATATGAAAGTCCTAAAAGTACTTAAGATACACGAAGCACGTAATACATATTCTCGAGAAATGAATTTAATTAAATTTCGGAGATCTCTATTAGAATTATTTTAGTTTTTAAAAATTCAATTTATGCTATACTTTTTATATTTATTTGTTATTTTTCAATATCTACTCTTTATTGCTAACCTTTGTGCATGTGATAAACAATAAATATTTATTGAAAGAAGGTTATAAAAATAACCATATTTATTCATGTATTTTTATAAAAAAAAAATCCAAAAAGGGGTTTGTAATAGTTGCTATATTTGATAATGATTTAAATATTATTGAAACTCCCGAAGAGATTCCAAATGCCATAACTTATTTAAAAGGAGAATTTGATATGAAAATAAATTTTTATCTCGACCTACGGTTCGAGCACCTAAAGAACAAGATTTTTATTCATTAATCAATTTATAAAAAAAAATTTCTACAATTTTCTATATAAAGATCATCCATTGACTTGCTTAATATTAGTTTGTTCACTTGATATCCAAAAAAGATCTTTTTCGACCTCGAGAAGATAATAAAGAACTACTTGGCCTTGAAGTACCATATCTTAGTGCCATTAGTGTATTGATATATCTTGCTAGTAGTACTCGACCTCATATAACCCTTTCTATAAGTTTATTAGCAAGTTATAGTTTTGCTTTAATACGGAGACATTAGAATAGAATTAAACATTTTCTACGTTATCTTCGAGAAAAAATCGATATGGTATTTATTTTACTCAAATAAATCAAAATCAAGTTTAATTGGTTATGTCAATTCGAGTTATTTATTTGATCCATACAAAACTCGATCACAAACTCGGTTATGTATTTATATTTGATGATACGACTATATCATCACATTCTATGAAGCAAATTATAGCTGCTAGATATTCAAATCATGCGAAATATCAATTCACGAGGCAAGTCGAGAATGTGTTTGGTTAAGATCAACGATCCATCATAACCGAGAGACATGTAATTGATTTACCAATAAAGAAGTTCCAACAATATTATATAAAAATAATGCTGCTTGCATAATCTAATTAAAGGAAGAATATATCAAAGTCACAATCCGGTGGACTTATTCACTAAGGCATAACCTATCATAACTTTTGAGAAAATGATTCATAAGATCGGGATGCATCATCTTAAATATCTTAAATGATGTTTTCAATAGGGGAGCCCAACATTGAGATTAATGTGATAAAGAATATTGCACTCTTTTTCCTTCATTAGGATTTTTTCCCACTCGGGTTTTTCATAGTAAGGTTTCAACGAAATATGTTCCTTGTACAATGGACATTTAAAGAGGAATGTTATGAAATAACGAATATCCATTTCATATTCTCACTATTCATGTGATTCAATTCATCATTCAATAAAAAAATTGAAATGCTGATGCAATTTATTCAATTATTTATGCATCTTTTAATAGGTTATAGTCCATTCCAACTCTCTTCCTAATCTTGAAGCCTATAAATAGATTTAATTGTTCTAGTTCGTGTATAAGTATTTTACGAGAGATTGAGAGATTATTTGGAGTTGTTGTCTCTTATATTCACTTTCTCTTATAGTGAATTCATTTTCCTATCATCTTTCTCTTCAATTCTACTATTGTTACCATTTCTTTTATAACAATAATATTTATTTCTTTTTTATTTTTTATACTTATATTAGTTATTTTTTTAGTCACTTTAGTTTTTTTGTGATATTTTAATTTCTTAAAAAAAAAATCTTAATAAAAGTTATGCCTTCACTAGTAATTTTAACTCAAAAAACATAAAAATAGATTATCAAACAATTAAGTGATTTTAGTCTTAATCCAGTCCAATAATATATGATCAAACGAGTTTAATACGGTTAATTTCACAATACGATAAGGGATAAACATACTCTAAGAACTCAATTGAAAATCTGTATAATTTAAGGGACATATTTGTAGTTATCCGAAAGTTTATTTAGCCACTCTCATAATACATACACATATACACATAGATTATGAATGTGGAATAACTTGTTTTAGATGATAAGTAGTCAAGTACACAGTAATTTTTTCCAGTGTGCTGAGAAACCAAACTCTCTATAATTGAAGTTTATTATTTTGATTCTTCATCTGTAGAAATGACTAGTCTTTTGTTATAAAGATGTTATTAAGGTTGCAAGTCCATGTCTTGTTTGCTTATAGCTTTTTTTTTTTTTTTTGGCTGTTAAGTTTTAATCCATTTCACTACCAAAAAAGTAAATAATTAAGTACATAATAAATTCAACTTTTTTGAATTAAAAACTTACGAGGAGATTATAATTGGAGTTCAACTAGTTATGGTTTGAAACAACATGCCCTTAGAATTATACTTTAGTGGTAACAAATGCTTAAGAATGTATTTGGACTAATTTACGTGTTAGTTAAAATTAAGTGTTCTCATAATTTTCTTTAAAAAAAAAATGCACGTCTCTCACGTTAGCTTCATTCATACATTCATCATAATTTTTTTAGGTCCCATCCTCAAAGCTCAGACTTAGGAAGTCAATGGAGGTAGTAAATCCTTTCGACAACTAGAGTTATCCCTTAAAAGGATAAGATTGAGGAATTTTTTTCATAAATTTAATATATTGATATTATGTTTCAAATATTTGAACTAATAATAATATTTTACTTTATTAATGATCTGTTCTTTTTTTTTTTTTTCAAATGTGCAAGTTTCACAATAAAAAATCTAGTATAACGAAAATACTAATCATCATTACATTAGTTTACCAATAACATGCTTATAGACTCCCCAATTACATAAAGCTTACATTCATCTTTTTATAGCAAAATGTTCCAAAATCTACATTCGGTGAGAAAATTCACATCATCCTTTATATATATATATATATATATGGTATTGCTAAATTCACCACATTAATTGTTATTCCCATCATTTTTTAAACATTTACTAACATACCCTCCTTCCATGTTTCTTAAATAATAGTTTTATATATTTTATATTAAATACCCGAAATACACATTAAAATTAACACATGATAAAATAAACAAAGATGGTTGATCTCACTTTGTTTTGACGTTTTTCATCAAAATACCAAAAATCTTTCGCATTGTTTTGACGTTTTTCCATCAAAATACAAAAGTCTCTCCACATAAAAATATTGAATAAAAGCCATTGTATGGAAGTGATTGAAGTTGCATGTTGTGAAGAAATGGTTTTTCCATCAAAATACAAAAGTCTCTCCACATAAAAATATTGAATAAAAGCCATTGTATGGAAGTGATTGAAGTTGCATGTTGTGAAGAAATGGAGCAGATAATAGAAAGAAGAGACGAAGAAGGGGTTATGGGTGAAGAATTCAGTCTCCCTAAGTTAAGAAGGTTGTCTTTGGCAAAATTACCAAAACTGAAAAGCATTTGTAGTGCAAAACTGATTTGCTATTCTCTCCAAGAAATTAAGATAATAGGATGTTCGAAGCTAAAGAAAATGTCGTTTTGACTTCTGTTGCTTGACAACGAGCAGCCATTTCTTCCCCCTTCTATAAGTATTTATATAAATTCAAAAGGATGGGGGGAGACAGCGTTGGATTGGGAGCATTCTAACCTTATGGATGTCTTTCGTCCTTTTGGAAGGTTTGGGTAAGCATTAATATGTTTTAATTCCCTACCTAATCCCTTGACTCGCTCTCTCTGCCCTTAATTTTGAATTAGTCTAAAACACACCCACTAACGATTGCTCTGTATCAATATTTCAAATACCATTGCTGGAATCAGTAGTGGAGTGGGAGAATCCTAGCGCTCAGGATGTCCTTTTCCCCCTTTTGTGTTTCTACCATCGCTGGTAAGAATGTTTTAATTCCTCTCTTTCTCTCTCTCTTTCATTTTGATGAATTACTCATTCTCATTTATACTATTTGCAACGATGCAATTTCATATTGGAGCCCAAAACCATCCAAGAACGGGGAGATATTGATGATGGACCTTGATCGAGACGATGAAAATGAGGATGAAGAACATGGTGGTGCTATCTTGAGAGAGCGGGAGCACCCATTCATTGTAATAGAGCCTGGTGAAGTGGCACATGGCAAAAAGAACGATCTTGATTATCTCTTCTAGCTGACAGAAGCAGTCAAAAAGAACTTACACAATGTTTGTGTTTGGTTGTACAGAAAAAGCGTAGAGTATACTGTAATTGCTATCTTTGTTATAGTTGAGGTTTTGCTTGTAGGTTCTCTTGTTCTATTTTTCCTAGGCTTGCTTGTTTGTTCTTCATTGTAGCAGGCAAAGACAATGGCTTTTATTCAATATTTTAATGTGAAGAGACTTTTGTATTTAGATGGAAAAACGTCAAAACAATATGAGAGACTTCTGGTATTTTGATGAAAAATGTCAAAACAAAGTGAGCCCAACCATTTTATTTATTTTATCATGTGTTAATTTTAATGAGTATTTTGAATATTTAATTTAAAACATATAAAACTATTATTTAAGAAACATAGAAGGATGGTATGTCAATAAATATCTAAAAAACAAATGGTGGGAATAACAATTAATTTAGTGAATTTATCAATACCCATATAAATATTTGTCTTTTTGTTTATTTATTTATTTATTATTTTCAAATTGTTTTTCTAGAATTTTAAATTGCAGAGTCCACTTTAGATGTGGGGCTAGATTGACACATGTCAACATGACATTGGTTTTCTCAAGTCCAATAATGGTGAAAATAAACGGAGGGTCTTAAATGACCAAAAACTGGCAGTAGAAGTCTTAGTGTGACCAAATTATTAGTAGAGGGCCTAATTTGCTCAAATTCAGAAAGTACAGAGACCAACTGTGATTTTTTAGCCTCCTTCGTGAATCAGAGAGAAATGAAGCCTTCTTGTTCAAATCGAAACATAAAGAATATTTATGAGTTCTCCCTCCTGAGCTAAAATGTCAAAACCATTTCGAGGTCTTTTCACATGCTCTCTTTTTATCGTCAAAACCTCGAAACATACAAAGCAAATCCAAATGAAACTTCATCGAAATTTCAAGCTTTCAATCTGTTTTTTTCCCCTAAAAAAAAAAAAGACCAACGAAAAATCGCCAGACGTTCAGATTGAGCGTCATTTGGAAATCTTGTGACTGATATAAACGTGCTAAAACATCTATAGCACCATTAGAGAACAATGACCTGCGCAACATGCTACTTGACACAAGGGCATTCACCTGCAATTTTCTCATTCTCCACTCTTGAGTCAACACAATCCTGAGTTTAACAAAAAAGAAGAAAATGACTCGGAGAAGGACGAAAAGAAAATTACGAGACCCTGCTTTTTCGCAGGGAATGTAATTTTCCAAGTAAATATTATAAGATGTATTTACAAGATCTCTACTGTGAATTACAGTTAGATAATCAATAATGTTTACAAAATTTATGTTCTTACAAATATTTACTCACATTAACTGGCATATTTTGTGAAGCCACGGTTATTAAATGGAAAGGCAAAGAAGACTTTCAAAATTGGGGCCTTCGAAGACAATTGATGCTATTGTTATAATGTATGTATTATGTATATGGTTACCTGAAGTCGATGCTGAGTGAGTCACCGTTTGATTGGCCAACTGGGTACACATCAAAAGGTTTTAACAGCAACAACAGCTGCCTCCTTGCCATCTCTCTCACCAATGTGTTAGGAGCAGCAAAGGTTCTTTGTTGGAAACTTCTGGTTCAGATGACAGCAACTCATTAAAACAGATTAACTATACCAAGTCAATTGCTGGGGAATATAACCATAAGCCATATTGCTGTGAAACTCAATAGCCACGATCAATTTCTAAAGAAGATTACAAGGCCCAAAGGAGCACGAATCACTTGAAAGACATTTATATTGTATTAATATAAAGCTCAATAGCCATTATCATTTTCTGGAGAAAATTACAACCCCAAAGGGCTTGTAAGAACTTGAAAGGCATCCACATGCCAAGGGTAATGGATAACTGCCTCCATATCATTTAACTTCACAACTGCGTGGGTTTGTGCCTAAGAAATTACAACGCAGGTTAGTGGGAAACTAAAGCAGTTATTATTTGGGAGTAGGCATCAAAGTAACTTTGAAAGTAGAACAGAGGAACTGTTTGATTACCTTCTATAATATTAGAAACATACTTTCAGCAAAGAATAGCTCTGAAGAAAGTAATTCAAGATATTGGCAGGTACAGCAACCTCCTTGCCATCAGTTTCCAACTTTAGATACTTCAAATTAGTAAATGGAGAAGTATGTTCATTTAGAGCAGCAGGAACCTTGGAAAGAGCCTGGAAACATGGAAATGTCACATGAAATGAAAGAAAATCGATGGATGTTCACATAAGAAACACACCTCCTCAGAGAAAAACAATGAAACATATACTCGGTTATTGAGTAAGCAACAAATGCAAGGTTATTAACTAACCATCCATCATGAAACTGATGTCATTACAGGATCATGATAGCCAGTGAAACATTAGTTGGGTATGGCCGAGGAAAACAGCTCTCTCTTTACATGTTGACTATATTAGTCTGTCAGATACCAATATATCAGACTCATTCTCCCAAAAATCAGCAGCAAAAGAAGTATATTAAGTATATGGTATTTCACCAAACAAATAGACAAATTGTTTTAGGTATTGCTAAAAAAATAAAAATAATAATAAGTGAATAAAATACCCAAGGAATGAGAAAAGAAAGTACTCATCTAGCTTCTAACACCACTTGAAAGCTTTACAGGAGAAAATTTAATAAATCTGTTAATGATCCTTGAAAATGTTTGAATAAAAAATTGAATCACAAAAAAACATCCACTTTTATAAAATTTTAAAAGTTGTGCAAGCCAATCAATCAAGGTCAGCAGCGGTAAAAATTTAGTCTTTATCACACACTCACACACGACACCAATCCTAAAATTCTTGCTCGAGGTAAAGAGAATATCTTTCACATCTTCAATGAAAAACATGATAGGAGCCAATTTCCAACTGAATTAGTGGCACTCTAGAGAATGAGGTATTTGTTCATGTGCTAGGAACTTCATGAAAGGTTAACAAGTCCAATCTATATGAATTAAACTGCACACTAGGAAAACAGTTCTTTAGAGATAACCATGGGAAGCAAGAAAAGAACTCTCAGTATAATATTTAAAACCAAGCTAATGCCAAAATGACAGTATTTCTAATGACCACTTCCCCATCTCAACTTCACCGCCTAGTACCATAAACCTGGACAAATCAGTCTATTAAATTGTAGAATGATTTAAAATACGCACCTCAATGGTATTCATGGATAACGTCAAAGATCTTGTATTGTGGAATTCATTTAGCATCTTGATGAGATTGAGAATTTTCAAATTACGCTCCTGCTCGAATTCATCGTCATCTACAAAATAAAGATCAAGGTCTTTCTGCAAGTCTACATTTACATCATCTAAAGAGCTAAGATTCACCTCAGACCACACTAAAGGATCTTTCCCATCAAACTTGAAATTGGTAAGCTTAGGAGCATAAATTATAACCTTGCATTGACCCATTAATGCACTATTTCGCCAATTTTAAATTTCCAAAGTTTTTAGGTTAGGAGCATGAATATTGAAATTTTCAATCCCAAACAGGCATATATCTTTAATCATCAGATCTTCAAGATTCGGGCAACTAGTGAAAATCTTCCCATCACAATTTCTAACCCCACCGAGATGCAATGTCTTCAAAGACGGCAACCCCAACGATTCTGGCAAAGCTAAGCCGTAGTCATGAACATAGAATTTTAGACTTCTAAGTGATTCGCAATTAAAGAAACAGCGAGGCAACACAATTAGGCTATCACAAGAAGCATTTATATAAATGTCTTCCACATTATGTTTAATTGCATAATATATCAAAGATTCTACTGTACTATGCCGAATTTCGTAACGACAATGGAAGGAAAGCTTAGCAATCTTAAAGTTATTGCGGCGTATTAAAACTTGGTTGATAAAGTCAGTGAAATCAATCATCGTTCCATCATGATCTGACTCTAATATTGATGAAAATGTATCATAATTGAAGTCAAGACAGGGGTGAGATTTCCACACATTCATCCATCTTCTGGAAAAAACACAGGTTTGAACAACTTGTATGGCGTCCACGAAAGATAGAATGTGATGGAGAAGTACATTTGGAAGCGTGCTGATCCTGTCTTCTTTGCTGTTCATCGATGACCTCTTCCTTGTCCTTGATTCCATTCTATCTCACCACCTCCTATAAAAATAAATAAATAAATAAATAAAAACATTAGAATTGCTTATTATGATCCAATAAATGATAGTCTGAAGAAAATAATTGTAAAAATGCATGCGTTGTTGTTTGCATCAAGCCAATTAATTTCCGAAAGCAAAAACCAACATAGACTAGTTGATTGAACTTATTTATACCAGTTTGATGAAAAGAACCCTTAAAAGCTATTGTTTTTACTACAACATACCAATAATGAACCCATATATCCATCTATCTAAAGGATTGAATTACCCACCAGAGAGATCTCTCTAGAGACGTCAGAACAGAGGGAGTTTGGTAATTTTGAGGTATTAGGTTTTTGGAGACTTTGCGGGAGTGAGTGCTGAGGCCAGAGGGGTCGCTCCCTGCATTTTTATTGGTCCCTAATAGAAACTTGAAAGCATAGAGGGCGATAAAAAGTTTATGGTATAGCTACACATACGTCCCCCAACTTATAATTACATTTTCATTCAAATTACCATAGAATGAAATTAGGCAATAATACCCTAAAAACTATAACTCGTTTATTTATTTATTTATTTATTATTATTATTATTTTTTACGGTGGAAAATATCTTCGGATTTGCTTGTACACAAACTGAGATACAGTCTCTTCTATAGAGGACTTTAAGAAAAGCCTTTTGTATCGACTTGATATATTTTTTAAAAAATAAATTTTTTTAAATACTAGTCTTTAAATTCCAACTCAAAAAATAAAATTAAAAAAAAAAGTTTTAAACTGTCATGTACCAATAATACTATCGCACTTTAATCCACAATGTCCCATCAAAATAAATAAGCAAATTTTTGTTTGTATGTGTGTTTCTTGCATGTGCCATTGTTTTAACACTTTAACCATCAAAACTTAGTACAATTATAAATGGATTAATAGTTTCACAAATATTTTTATTTTTATTTTTGTCTTACACAAACTTTTTTTTTCTTTTATATATATATTTGAATTCATCTTTTTGTGTTTGGTTTATGTCTTAATTTCATTCTTTCGTTAACTTTTTTTTTATGTTTTAATCTCATCTCTCTATCATATTTTTATGTTTTAACCTTTTTTATTGAATTTAAATAAATAAATTTTGAGAAAAAAACTAAAAAACGAAGATATATCGTCATTCTCTAAAAAGTAAAAATAAAAAACTAAAAAAAAAGGCTAAAGATAAAAGTATATTTTTATATCCAAAATATCTTTTGTGAACTTAAATTTATTTCGGTGATAATAAATAAATTTCAAGTATAAAATGAAATATTTATAATAATTTTTTAAGTATGTCTCTATAATAATAAGTAAATTTTGAGTATTAAAAAAATATATTTATAGTGTATTCTTTTTTTTGTAATTTATTTTAATTTCTTAAAAAATCTTAAATTTTAATTTTTTTAATAATAATAATCTTAATTCAAATAACATGTCAATAGATTATGAATAGTTAAGTGATTTTAGTCTTAGTCAAGTTCAACGAGTATATAACCAAATATTTAATTTCGCGAGCATAATAAAACACATCACGGACCTAAGAACTCAATTGAAAATCTCTATAATTTAGGGGAATTAATTTGTAGTCATCCCAAAGATTATTAATTTAGCTAGTTTCTCTCCGATAAATATACAAATTAAAAATGTGGAATGAATACTTGTTTTAGTTGGCAAATAGTCGAGTAGATAATAAAATATTCAATCAATGGTGTTCTTCTCTATCTATACGAGACGAGCATCGGAAGTTCATTATTTTGGGATGATCACCCACTTCTATGAATGACTAGTCTTTTGTATCAAAATATTATTGGGATTGCTAGCTAGTCCTACTCTTATATATATATATATATATATATATATATATATATATATATATGAGTTTGATGCGGAAAGAGTCACCATTTGATTGGACAATCGGATACACGTCAAAAGATTATAATAGCGACAACGGTTGCCTACTTGCCATCTCTCTCAAAAGTGTTAGGAGTAGCAAAGTTTCTTTGTCGGACAATTCCTAGTCGGATGATAGCAACTCATTAAAACAGATTAACTATACCAAGTCAATCGCTAGGCCTAGGGAATATAACCATAAGCTGCGGGGATCCGATCGGTATTGCTGTGGAACTCAATAGCCATGATCAATTTCAAAAGAAGATTACGATGCCCAACAGAACACGATGCACTTGAAAGACATACATATGTGGATTTCTTTCAAGTGCTTAGATACTTCTTTAGGGGTTGTACTCTTCTTTAGAGTTAAAACGATCATGGCCATTGAGCTTTCAAGTGCCTCGTGTTTTGGAAAGAACCGCGTCCATATCATATAACTTCACGAGCTTCATGAGTTTGCGCCTAAGAAATTACAACACGAGTTAGTGTGAAACTGGAGCGATTATTATTTAAGAGTAGGCATCAACCGTAACTTTGAAAGTATAACAGAGGATCCGTTCGATTACCTTCTATACATAATATTAGAAACATACTTTCAGCAAAGAAGAGCTCGAAGAAAGTAATTCAAGATATTGGCAAGTACAGGTGACATCCATGCCAACAGTTTCCAACTTGAGATACTTCAAATTAGTAATGGAGAAGTATGTTCATATACATCACAAAAATGATCTAGTTTAATCAAATATTCAAAGTTGTGCAATCCAATCAATCAAAGCCAGTGACAGTAAAATGCAAAGAAAAAATAGCTATAAAATGTGTATGCTAAGATTATTGTTTATATGGCCGGCATGGCATAATAATGAAGGGAGTAGTCTTTGAGGAGAAGGATGTACGTAATTAAGATGGATGAAATGTAGAACCCAACTATTCAAGGATATGGTAACCGAGTAAAACGTAATGTCACATTTCGGCATAACACTTCAATTCGAAGAACATCGGTGCCAAATTACATAGCAAACCCCATAGAATAATTAGAAGTCAAAATTCAATGTCAATAGCATGAAGTAAATCCTAAAAGTCTTTCGTGAAGTAAAAGAGAATATCTTTCACATCTTCAACGAAAAACATAATAGGAGGCAATTTTCAATTGAATTAGTGTCATGTTCTAGGAACTTTATGAAAGATTAACAAGTCCAATCTATACGAATTAAACCACAAACTAGGAGAACTTTTTCTAATTTAGAGATAACCATGGGAAGCAAGAAAGAACCTTCGATGTAAAATATTTAAAGCCACACAAATGCCGAAATGACATAGAGGCTTATAATACAACCATCACATGATTACAAAAAACACTTTATAAACCTATCCATCACAATACATACTCTAAAAAAAATTTATTTACCATCTCTCACGCCAAGAAAAAGGAGAAGAAAGAATAGATCAAGCGAGTCCATGTTACAATATAACAATAACTTAAAAAGGCAATCGAATCATAGCTTATGATGGAAGAAAAAAGCCTTTTATACTGCTAGGATATTGCTTTATGAAGTAAAGAGGATCCTCATGGCATAGAAGGATCCTTTATCAAGAAAGAAGAAAAACTAAAGATCTTCTCGATATTACGGGATGACTAAAAATGAACTCTAAGTATAATATCATCTCTAGAGTGGCATTCTTTGCCACGATTCATGCCTACAAGCCTCTAAGACGCCTCGGACTTCCCAAACCACAATCTTCTTTCGTTCTATAAAGGCTTGCAGTAGTTGCCTTTATGATATATGCTAATCTTTCTTTCATCTCCTTATAAAGAGATTAGATCTCTTTATTTTGCTCTACAAGGAGCCAAAAAGCTCCTACGGAAGGCTCGCTACTTCAAACCTCTAATTTCCTTCGATCTTTCACTTATAGAAAATATGGGTCCGTACCTATAAAGACTACCAAAAGAAAGACAAAAAGCCAGCATTACCTTAAAAAAAAACTATAAAATAGAAGGAAAACAAGAGTATGTGCATTTATAGGTAAGGAGCATCCATAAACACATTCTTCGATAGAGCTCTCGGCACGAGCCATTTGAGCTTTTCTTTCAAACTCACCACCTTTATGAGTTAAGCAATGAGAGAATCTAACAAGCCTAAGAGTTATGATTACCTTAAGACTTCGATAGAAGTGGTCAAAAGTAGTCAAATAGTCCTTCTATTTAAATGAAATACGAGCAAAAATAATCAAACACCTCTGTCATGGAACCAAACAATAAAAACTTGAAGTCTTACTCCAAGCATACACGTAGGACAATAATGTTCAAATTCCCTTTAGTCATGCAAGAATAGTGTCCATTCATATTATCATCATGATTAGCCAAGACATAGAGAAAATTATCCCTAACAAGTGTAATAGGCAACCGATCTCTCACAAGACACACAACTAGGACCCTATATAACAAAAACGGACTCACCTCGAGAAAAAAAAAGAGTCACCAACACAAGAACTAGAATCCATCCTAATAACTTCATAAAAAAAATCCCCTAATGTGCTCCTAACTTTCCTCAAGCCACTCATCCTTCTACCCACAAGAACATAAAAGAAAAAAAGTAAAAAATTACCTAATAAATGTAGATTTGGGATGACAAAGTACCCTCCTAGAGAGGAATCCTCACACAAGAGTGAAAAAGGAAAAACAAAGAAGTTTTCTTAAAAAAAAATTCATTCAACACACTAAAAACCTCTCATAAAGAAATTTAAAGCACACAAAAATTTGGAAAGACTCCGACAATGAAGCCTATATACATAGGCGAAGAGAAGCCTTCTCCTTCCATCAAGACACTCAAAATCTAAGAGGTTATTGTGACAACATTACATAAGGTAAAAATTTGGCACGCTAACTATTAATAAGGTAAATTATTATTCTTATAAAGAACATAAGAAGACACAATCATACACGATTAA